GTATGTGGGCCTCCCCTGGTGGCACAGGAGTTGAGCGCTGGACTGCGAAGCTGCCCACAGCCTCTGCAGCGCTGGTTTGATCCCTGGCTGCCAGCGAGGGTCCCACATGGCGCACAGACCTTTCCTGCCACGCCCACTGCTCCCCTCAGCAGTGTATTTTGTCAGTCTGCCTGTTCTGTTCCCCGCTCTGGTGAATTCTCTCACCCTCCCGCACTTCTGACTGTACCAGTGCTTGTATAAATAAATAAATCTTAAAAAAAAAAAAAATAGGACCTGCTGTCCTTTAAAAAAAAAAAAAGTAAAGTATGTTTACTCAGGCTACTTAAGTGACTTAGCTTTTTTTTATTAAAGGTATTTTCCTTTAAAAGTCATGTTAAAAACAGGTGTATAGACACACTATACACAATCACTCTAATAACACGCGAGAAAAAATAATTTCACTAGAGTCAAATACTCCTAGGTGGCTGGAGTGACTTTTGCTTCTTGGTTGCTAAGTCAAGTTCTTCCTTTCAATTATTTGGAATTTGGTTTGGTATGATTGTACAGTCTAATCATAAATGCTTGAAGATCCTTTTTCTTCAGTTACAATGCAAATTTAACATACAAATATATTCTCCAAATAAGTCATTTTTGGAGAATAAGTCATTAGAAATAAGCCACTAAGTCCCAGAATTGACGTTTGAAAAGTCAAAACCTTTGCTTATTAATTTCTTAGTCTAGAAAAGAGATTTCTCTAATTTGATGACGCAGAACAGGACAAGTGTTATAATAGATAAATAAAGGAATGTTCAGAGTCATAAACTTATATGTGGGAATACTCAACTGTGGATAGGACTTGGGAAAACAAACCCACCTTGTCTCAGACCAATTAGGAGTATTTACAGTAAGACTGCTTCCTACATCAAATTTACTCAGCAATCAAAAAAGATAAACACATGCAGTTTGCAGCAACATGGATAGAGGTAGAAGGGATCATGCTCAGCGAAATACATCAGAAAGAAAAAGAAAAATACCTGATGGTCTCACTCATAGCAGGAATTTAGAAAACCTAAATAAGGGACCAGGAAAAAGACTAATTAATCAAGGTAAAAATCAAAACCAACAAGCAACTATAAACCAGAAACATACTACGGGGTGGGAGGCAGGGAGAAGAAGGATTAGGGTCAAAATAAGGGGGGAGGGGTGCAATTGTATGGGGAATATAACCAAAACGAAAATGTGTACATTTTGCAAAAATTAAAAAATGACATAAGAATTATATAAAATAAAATATTAAAAAAAATTGGTGCTGGGCCTCCCCTGGTGGCGCAGCGGTTGAGCGCTGGGCTGCGAGGCTGCCCGCAGCCTATGCAGCACCAGTTTGTTCCCTGGCTGCCGGCGAGGGTCCCACCAAAAAAAAAAAAATAAAATAAAAAAAAATTGGTGCTGCTTCTTACGTTGTTACTGTCATTCTTGTTTTCCCCTTTTATCTTTGTTTTTCTGTCTATCAACTTGACGCTGATGTGAAAGTACAGAACAAACAGGAACCTGGGACATTTTCAATATAAGGTATCATGTAAAAGTATACCCCAGTGTAGATATGTGGTATAGCTCCTGATGAGAGGACCCAGGAGACAACTTTAAGGTGACTCCCGTTGGGAGGCCTATAACCGACCATCTGCTTAAAGTGCCTACTTGATGGAAAACCACCAGCAGTCAGTAGACCTTCACTCCTCCCCTGCCATGTTTCTCTCCCCATTAAGTCATTTAAAACTCAATAAACCAAAGGCATCAAGAGTAGAATCAAAGCATATAGGCACACAGGTTCAGCAGACGAAAGCACAAGCCTTCTCCAGCACTCCATGGGTCCCTTTTCACCAGAACTTCTAAAGATTTTTTTTCACCCTACTCTTCCTTTCAATACCTATACTACTTCTTTCTGAAATGAATTGCTGGCTGCCTTGGAATAGCAATTTAATACTTCCACAGAATGAGGCTATTTAAAAAGAGTCACCCTGCTCTGAAGTTATTAAATGTACACATGTTTGCTTTCCTGGACTGTATTTATTTGCGCACGTGTTAAATGGATTTCTGTATTAGCTACATTATTCATAATATTAAGTTGTTGTCTTCTTTTTTGAAGCTCATAGGCACTTTCTAAATAGGAGACAATACAGGAAATTAAACAGCTCTTTTAACTGTACGGGTTTACCAATGAAACAGAGAACTTATTGTGACTATTGTAAAAGGTAAATATTTAGCATCCATGGGGGTCACTATGGTGGTAATTATGTCATCTGTGTGTTCCAGATTCTTAAAAGTGCTCCCAAAAAGGAAAAGATAAGAACACACAAAAAACAGAAAGCTATTCAAAATTTCATATTTAAAATGCAGAATTAGAGTTTCCATCCCTGTGGAAAGAACATGATTATATAGTAATTATCTTGCTCTAATTGAAGTATTTGTTTTTAGTGAACACATACCTTTACTTTAAAACAAAACTGAACTTTAGACTAGAAAGAGAACAGCAAGGTATTAAAGAGCTATACCTAGGGAAAGAGATGTGGACACAAATATGTTTTCTCAACAATGAGTCGGAGATCCACATTACTCACTTGGAAAAGATCTTGACAGGACAAGTGACGTCACCCAATGGCTGTAGGAAACTCTAGCAATTGCTACTTTCTGTTAATGCATTTGATGTGGTCTCAGCACCTGAAATGCCATTTGCTTCACATGCAGCACATCTGACTAAGAAACTAAGTTAGCATGAGTCTTTGGCAAGAAAGTCTATTGTCACAGGTGGCCATGACCGAACCACAGTTTTTCTCAGCGGGACAAGGAGCTCACCTCTACCAAAGCAACTGTTCACACAAACATCTTCAGTTTAAGGTTCTGACCTGCATATTAACCACATGCCTATAAAAACGTAGGTTTTACAAGGCGAATGTCCTTCTGTGAGAGTTCATTAAACATATGCATAAAACATAATCTCTTTATGCAAAATAACATATTGATAGTACCATATTCCTTTTCAAATATGTTCCCCGTCGCAAGGCAATCTGGTATCTAGTGAAAGTAAATTTGCTACAGTCTTTGCATTAACTAGATATGCCACTGGTTATGAAAGTTTCACCTGTTTTTAATCCCAACATGCTTTGGTGAGTAGGCAAGTAGGAAAATTCAAGGACTGCCTGTCACAGTTTTCATGAACAATCAACACTACAGAAGTTATATATCTAAAGTAAACTGTAATGATTTATTTATTCTAAGATTGTACTATCTTTTAAAAAATGATCCCTATAAAAATTAACACTTTCATAAAAGGAAGTACAATGATTCTTTGTCTTTGCATTATGTAACCAGCATTAAAACTTTGGGAGCTAGAGTCTACAGAGCTTTCTGTTCACTTAAATATCACCGTCCTTAAAAAGCAAATGTACTTTTGTACGCTAGAGATTCCCACTCTTTTCAAATCACTGTGGGTCGAATTTCCATTATGTCAATATTTGTTATTTTATATATAAGTTAACAGCATCTACTTAAGTGCCCAAAGCTTGAGCTTTTCCTTTCTCTAGAAGTCTCCACAAGTAATTATTAAACTGCAACACGAGACTTCAGAGTGGATGGCAAGCCACTTCTAAAATATGATGCATGATTTACATTGAATTTAGAGTTAAGCACAAATATTAAACTCAGCTCTGTGACTGGAATGTTATACTAGTGGGAAGCAAAGTGATTTTCTTTAAAACCACCTACATTTTGCAAACTAAAGGGAAAAGCGACCTTTAGAGAAAATAAAACACACAACTACTACTTCCTTTTAGTCTGGGAAAGTCACCTGGGGTTTGTTTGCAAGGAGAGACTAAGTTCATTAACTACTGGGACTAAATCAGACAGTCCTCACATGAGAGGGAAAGTTTAATTACAGGAGCCCCAAAGAGGGCGTGTAGATTATGCATCCTTCTTAATTTCAGAATAGCATGTGGTCCTCTCCCTCCATTCCCCTTCATTTTCCACAGATGCACAATCAGATAATGTTTCCATTCATACAGATTTGAAAAGCTCTTCATCCTGTGTGGGTTATTTTATTTTATAGTAGCCAAGGGAAAGCGGTGGCTGCCAATATGATGTTAAGTGCATGGGAAATAAAGGCTCAGTCCTGGGCAGTCAAACAGTCTACCTTTGTGCTGCTCTTGCAGAGAAAGAATACAAGCCCATCACCAACTTTGGGACTTGATCAACAGAGGAGAGTCACAAAACTCTTTTCAACCAATGCATTTTAAAACGCCTCTAAAAATAGCTCCTCTGTGCTGGGCCTTTAAGTCCCATCTATGGCCAGTGACGGAGTACAGTACTTAATTGTTTCTGACTAGGGTCTCTACATCAGCACTCTGAGAGTGTCTTCTAACTTTTAATCGCCTCGTGTGCTCTTTAATTAGACCTGTTCACAAGACAGCCAAATGAAAATGCTTATCACTCAGCCCACTCACACCCTTAACACAGGCCATTCCCCAAGTCCTAGGAACTTTTGTGCAAGGCTTACCATCTTCCAGATCACTCCTAATTCTCCCGTTCCATTTATCTTAAAATCAAACACACTTAGGGGTGGGGGAAAGGAAAACTGTGGTTATTATGAAAGCTCCACTGTAAAGACACTGCCCAGTAACGTTACCTTCCTTGTCTGTTTCTTTCTCTCCTTGGTCTGTTACCTCGTGGTATCTGTTTTGCTATTACTAGGGCTGGAGGGAAACGTGCTGTCTCTGGAAGGGAAAGCTAACACTTGGTCCCCTCGCTGCGAAGGGCACTTTTCCAGGGGTTGGATAACTAGAAAAGGGCTCTCATCTCCCAGAAGGATTTCAGAGCCCGAATCACAGTGGGGACCCCCTCTAACTTAGGCAGGAAATGCAAACAGCAGAAGTGACTGCCCTTGGTCCCCACTAGTGCCCGGCACCAGGAGTAACCTACCGTGGGCGTGAGCTCCCCACCTCGGCTCAGGTTCCTCTCGCTCCTGGACTCACCTGGTGCTGAGGACGAGCGCAGGCAGGAGAGACAGCAAGTAGTGCGCTGGGCTGAATTTCATCCTGTCGCCTGCCGGGGTCCTCCTACCCTCGCTGCCTTAGCTCTCCCTCCTCCTCCCGGATCCTGTCGCCCCTCGGTGCCTGGTTCTGTCCCCGGCCGGCACCGAGTCCTCTCCAGAAGCGGACGCAAGGAAACGGACAAACCGACGGACGCCGCGCGAAGGCAGGCGCTGAGAACGAGGAGTATCTTCGGGAGTGATGTCACCAGCGAGGCGAGCCCTGCCCGGGATTGCTCGGCCCCGCCGCTCCCGAGCCCGGAGGGCGCCTTGTCAAGCGCTTGCAGGAGGATGTGCGGGGAGAGGGCGGGGGTTGCCCAGAGATGCCCGCACGCTCAGGTCACCCGGCTGCGCCCTGGTCACCCGGTGCGCACCGGCTCAGGGGCTGATCATTCATTCCCGCGTCTTCCCAGGATGGGAGGGGCGGGGCAGGGGCGAGGAGGAATCTAATCTGCCAGTAATTGAACTGGCGCACTTGGCAGGAGGTGAGACAAATAACACTGGGATGGACTAGCAGACTCGATTGCAGGCAGGTGTCCCTCTTCTGATTAACAGTGTTTGGAACAATGTGGCTCTGGAGACTGTTTAGGATATTATTCTAATTAGAAGGCATAGCGATTTGCCTGATGCGGATTTTAAAACATGCAGAAACAGCATCCAGAAATGTAC